TTTCTTAGCAGTAGTACCTCCTTCACATCCTCCTCCAACAGTGAGAAACTTTTCTTTTAAATGCAAATGCATCTTTAAGGGTCCTGCTACCACCTCAATTACCTTGCTGCCCAAGAGTGATGTGGCAGTTGAAAATGTAAAAGGAAACTAGCAAAAAACCCATCAGGATGGAAGTTATAGCCTGCAATGCATATGGATGCATTCTCTTTTATGTATAATTCCACACTTTTTCTGAAGATGTCAGGCTAAAATTGGAAAGAGTATGTGCATGAAATGCTGCTGCCCTCACCCCCAATGAGTGCGATGAGGGACAATCGGTACCTTAATGGATTTTAAGTGCTGGTTCAACTATTCAGATTTTTTCCTTTCCTTCTAGTTCGTGGTCCTCTCCCACCACCTCCAGCTTCAAGGGACTACATACCTGGCCCACCAGGAATGAGAGAACTGCCTCCTCCGGATCCGAGAGGATATATACGTGGACCCCCTCCTTTCAGACCATTGGGCCCTCTTGGCCCAAGAGATTACCCTCCTGGCCCACGGTTACCCCTACACCCACATGGTCCAAGGGACTATCCACCACCTCCAAACAGAGACCTGCCTCCAGCTGGACCTAGAGACTACCCACCAGGCTCTCTGCGTCCACCATCACCAGCAGGCTCAAGGGACTACACACAACCCCCAGAACAGAAACCTTAACTTGCATCTCTGGCCAGCAGCTCGTTGGAATAGACTCTAGCACCTTTCCGCCAGTGAGACTTCTCAATAGCTTCAAAGGAGAACTACCTTTTAATTTGGTCTTAGACTTGGTTTCAGTATAGTACAATACTTGCAGGATGGATTTCCCCTGTTGCTACCAACATTTAATATGCATTTATGATCACTTTTAAACTTGGCCTGCAAGAATCATTTTGTGATAGACTTGAACCTGCTTCTTACAGCTGTAGGCCACCTGCAGCTCTAAATGTGCAATACAAAAGTACCTGTGTGGCTGGTTTTAATTAAATGTAACCTATGTAACCAGTTGGTGATGACTTAATTTCATGAAATATGTAATCAGAATGTTTCCTGTGGAAATAATTTTTTAAGTAAAATGCTACCCTATCTGCCTTCTCCATCACATTATTAACCTGCAGTTACTGTAGACCAGTGGCTTACATACAGTGTACATATTTTTCAGGTGGCCGATCTTTGATTAGGTGCACAAAATATGCTGTACTCAGAAGATTCTAATAAAGACAGCACAATGGCTTTTGCTACCCTTTGAAGATTTTATTCTAGCCCCAAGTTAATTGCTGCTGGTAGAGACACTGATTCATTAACTGGAGCATAAGTGTAACTTCATCCAGGTGGCTTGTATCTCAAATACCTTAAACTCCTCTTGCTCAAGAGATAAGCCTATTTTGTAAGCAAGGCTAAATATGAATTACATAACTTGTTTTACAGTAAGAATCTAGATCCAGGTCAATTACTGTCAAGAGAACCTCTAGACTTGCTTGCATATTGCCTTCCATTTTCAGAGCATGTCCCTTATCATCATCAGCTAATATCTGCCATTGTAAGGAAAAAAAGCTGGTTAGCCACTGATACATGTCACAACTGCATTATAATGTTAGTGGTAGTTGACAGCACTTAAAAAGCTAATGTGCTTGCAAGAGAGCTATAGGTTTTGAAGCTTCTGTGAGATGCACAAATACAAGACTGCAAATTGGAACTTAGTTAACGAGCTGTTTATAAAGTGTGGTGCCCCTTAACTTCTACCTCTAGCCCTAAGGCTGCTGGCCATCACCTGTGCCCATGAGGATACCCAAAAGAAGTGTGTAGTCATAGAGCTAAGTAGCTAGTTGTGCAGCACTTTGTTTAAAACAAAGACAACTGAAAAAGAAAGCAGAACTTCACACTTAAAATATTTGCTACTGTCCCTAAAGCTCTACATCAGTAAGCTTTACTTCATTCCAGGTTGTTGTAGGCCAAAACTTGAACAAAAAGCAACAGACCAGACTGCTTCAGTTGTTTTATATACTTAAAAAAATTGGGATTTCACTTGACAATGAAAGGGTGAGGATCAATGTTACTTTACTTTCTTATTTAAAATGTGTACTTCAACATGGTCAGTAAGTAGTACTGGCTGTCTAGCTGCAACGAGTTGCAAGTTTCAGTCCTTTGTTTTGATGGTCAGAAAGGAACCAGAACTGGAGAACAAGCAGGATGTCAAACATAATGGAAAAGGACAACTACATGTTATACTACAGCTTTCCTGCCAAAATGCAAACAGCCATTTGACTTCAGTTTCAGGTATTACATACAATCTTTATGTTGCTGTGTATGAAGACTTAAGATGAAAAGCAGAACTGTTGGACATTATGTAAACAAACCTGTGTTTGTTTCATGACAAGCAACAGTCTATTTGGGGGCAGGGGAGTTTTTCAATGAAAGTCAGCTCATGAAGAATAAAAAATTGCAAACACAAGTGATGTCTATGCAATAGAGACCCCCAGTGTGAATTAGTTAATACAAAGCTATAATCCTATTAAAACAAACACAGTACATGGAATATCAAGTTAAATGCACAAGGAAGTGTATGAGTATTTCTTTAAGCTGAGAAAAAGATTTATTAGTGTAGTTTAACTAGAAAGGTAGTTCAAATGCTGTTTTTTGGGGGTTTTTTTAATAGACTGGCTAGCCAGCCAGTATAATTAATTCATAGAATCATAGAAGTAGGGTCAGAGGGGACCCTGTAGATCTTCAAATCTGACCCTCCTGCCTGGGCAGGAGAAAAACTGGGTTCAAATGACTCCAGCCAGGTAGGCATCAAGCCTCTTCTTAAAGACCCCCAGGGTAGGAGCCAGCACCACTTCCCTTGGAAGTTGGTTCCAGACCCTAGCTGCCCTGACTGTGAAGTAGTTCTTATGGCTGTCTAATCTAAACCTACTCTCCAACAACTTGTGGCTATTATTCCTTGTTATGCCAGG